TAGTCGTCATATATTTAATCAACCCAATTAAATGAATACCTTATAATATGGGTTTATCAAATCTTTATGATGATGGAAAATTTTCGGTGGAGGTCGACACTCGACAGCCACATGTTGCAACGTCTAAAGAAGATCCTTCCACTGTTCAGACAAACGTCAGAGCTAAACCCGGGAGCTCGAAGGCACATATGCCAGATATGTCTCCATGAATATCAGAAACTTTTGGCTTTTAGCCAACGATGACAAGCTGTTACTGTAAGTCAGGTAGTCGACGTTTTGAAGAATAGAAGGGCATAATATGACTATTACAAAGTGATTCGCACTTAACTGGCTAGTTGTAAACAAGTAGATAGTTTTGATAATCAGTTATTCGTTTTTTAAAAGTCATATATCCACTACCCACCGTGTACCCAGTCTCGTGTACTCATATAGTACGCAGTGGTAGGGACTCAAAATGTCCCAACCCAGCGACTCAAAACATTCCTTTATCCAAGACTCAAATAATACACATCTTCTTAAATCAGATATTCAAAATATCGTACATTCTCATTTTCATTTACATAGTAAAAATTATGTGAAAGTATGCGGCTGACCTAAAATGGTGCCAAATTATGCGAAAAGTTTTGGAAATTGGCAAAACATGCGATATCGCGACCGCTGCAACATAAAAATTACCTCTGTCCTCTACCACGTTTAAAATTAAAGAATATGATTTAACTCAAAATAAATCTATCAGAGACCAGAGGACAGGGGGAGTGTATGAAGTCTAACTCCTAGCCCAACTGGGGCGACCTGTCAAACATTTCTCTCGGTGTTTGTTTGCATAATATTGATAAAAGTTCTCATCGTTCATGACATCCTGGAATCTCGTCTTCAATCTTCATCGCTGAAGATTCTGATACCTTTGGACTGGCCTGATAAAGAAATACCCAGACTCCTCGCCACAGACCCATACACATACTTGAACCGCTTCTCTTCATGTTTCCTCAGAATCATGTTTCCAGCGCACGTGCACTCCACCTCACCGTTCAGCAGCTCTTCGATGTCTATCTTGCTGTCCGGATATCGTCTGATCTTGAAAATGCTCCTCTTGAAGCATTTGTTGCATTCCACGGCCCAGAGCAGGCTCGCGCTCGCGGACATGTTTGGATTTGTTCCTGAGATGATTTATTTGTTGGGAATCGGCGCCACTAAATGATTACTATTCCGGACATTTTGTATCATGAAAATAAAGTAATTGTATCGTGTAATTAAAACGGTTGTGTTTACTGTTTAACCTTAAGTAGTGAGATTACATTTATTTAGAAGACAATGTTTATAAAAGTAAAAGCGACTAACAATTAACAGCAACTAACAGGAAACGTATTAGAAGCTAACACGTTAAAAGTACGTTGTATACCAAGTTTAAAGTGCCTACTATGATACGATAGGTTTTTGGAAGTATGCGCGGTGCGAGAGGTAGCAAAGAACATAATAGTTTTTCAACCCAAAATAGCAAGGCACAGAATATTTACACATGAAATTTTAAATATATGCAGGGAAACTGCTTTACTGTATATAATACTGCTTACAAGGGGTGGCTCCTTGTTTAGCAAGGCATTTGAGCACTTAACCCTTTAAACAATACATTCTAAACGTCCAATTTCGTTCTCGTAAAAGATTTAGAGATTTCGAGTAATCCCTTCTATCGTAAAAATATTTGTACGTTCTGTTTTCACTCATAAGAGATTCTGCCTTGATGAAATAATTTGTCGGAACATGGTGTGTAGCAAGGCTAAAAATCAAAACACCTCAAGTTTTAAAACAGAGAAAAAATAATTAATGCGCACTGGTGAACGGTGTTCATGGAATTCTAAAAAGCGTTAATTCTTGCGAGGTTTAGGAATTCCATCTATAAGTATAGGATTAGGATATGCTATACCGTACATGTCATTTAAAAAATTCGTGCGATACGACCATTTTAGAAAGGAATCACCTTGATGAACGGGAGGTCAATCGTTATAAATTGTTGAACATCTTTAAGCAACATACTCATCCAAACCTGGGTCTGAGAGATGCGCTATCATCGTCATAATTTGGAAATAAGACCATTGTCCAGCTGCTGAAAATCATTAGTTTTACAAAAAAGAGTTTAAAATAATATATATCACACCACTGTTCGTTTTTCGTGAAAATAATTTGGACTACTGCCCGTGTACAACCCGTTTTTCACTGGGTGTGGAAAACATTATTGGAGTTGTTTACTGTGTGTGAATTCCTGCGGCTGTCGTGCTAATCGTACAATAATCAAGCTAGTTTAAGATTAGCACTTCAAGGAGGCTAATAATGGCCTCCTTAAAGGCCATTATATACCCGGTTTAAATTACTTATTTACGCCCAACTATGCCCAAAGACAAATTGTCTACTATTGGCAGACCAGGTGACATGGTGCCGTCACGTGGGGCGGGGGTGGGGAAGGTGGGAGGTATGGTGCGTACTGTAGTCTGTAGTCTGTAGTCTGTAGTCTGTAGTCTGTAGTCTGTAGTCTGTAGTCTGTAGTATACTGTAAAGGAGCCGATGTTTTGACGCTCTAAATTCTACCCCAGTTATAAACATCGCCTTTTCAACTCTTATCAGACACCAGATATACTGAGTGTCTGATAAGAGTGTCAGCTGGTGTTAACTAATCTAAGAAATAAGAGTTAACAGAAAAACTTGAGGAATGTTTTGATAACTCATGATCTGAGTCAAACTGCTGATTTTCCCATTTCTTGATCAGAATTGATCTATTACGTTTCCCAAGGATTTTGGGACTTAAAGTTAAGTTACAAGTAATGCTATGACTTCTTTAAAAACTTTATAACAAACGGTTTCCAACTACATACAATGGAATTTGCATAATGTAATATCAAATATCAATATCTTAAGATATCTTATGACAAAACTTGAACTGTACACATTTTTAGTCGATCAATGTCATGTTACACTTACAACGTCATCATTATTGATAATTGCCTAATTGTACGAAAGTATTGAATTGGGATAGAGATTGCAAGTAGTATAATTAGCCGTTATCATGGTTACTGCATGTGTTTTATTGTTTATATCCTTTGTACCAACTCAAATTAATTAGGTAAAACTGATCATTCTAAAATATATAAATTTCTAAATTTAATTTTTTGAAATATCGAATATTCACCAATCAAACTAGATAAAATGTTAAAGTATTGATATTTTAGGTCTTAAATTAAGAAATGCCCAAGTCCACAATTGTTTGAGATAGAACGAAAGTTTAAAGAACAAAATAGCAATTAATCGTAACCAACATGTTAACACTGTTATTCACTTAATTCACTTAATTCATATCAAGTGTCAAAGTATAAACGTATTCAAAGTCTGGTCACTCCGCACTGTAATCAACATTAACTGAATAAGAGAATCGTTTATCAAGTTTTCACTTGTGGAGGGGGCCCCCGTTTCCAACTAGCTGTCCTTAAAAGTGTTGAACTGTATGCGTCTGGAATTCAAACTCCTCATCTCGGTACTGTAAATGAACCTGAATCGTTTCTCCTCATACTTCCTGAGGACCATGCTTCCTTGACACGAGGTAGGACACGTGATGTCTCCTCCTACCAGGTTTCTCACACCCTTCTTGTTTTCTGGATAACGTCTGATCATGTGCCAGCTTCTTTTGGAACATTGACAACATTCTACTGGCCAACGTAGACTTACTGACATGTTAGCTTGCTTACTGAAATTGGATGCTTCATTAAGATTTGTTGTTATTGTTAGTAGTACAAACCTTTCTTTCAGTACTATACTGAAATGTTGATTTAATAGCATTCCTCTTTTTTATGTTCTAGTTAAGAAAGAGTCCCTATTCGTCAAAACATGGAAACACACAGTCTTTCAGTATTAAAGCTAACATAAGATATTGATTCAGCAATGGACAACATGCGTTTTGTATTAAGTAAAATCATTACGATAAATGTTCAAAGGAGATTACTATAAAAGCAAAATATTCAAATAAATTCCGGAAATCCCTAACTTAATGACACTTCCACCTTCATTCTTTGGACACTGTAGTGCACTATCGGGACACTTTGATCCTTCCAAATAAAACATATAGCGTTACCAACACCCTTATCGATCATACGTGCTTGAAAATAAATCGAAGGAGGGGAAAAATATAAGTTACACCTTGATATTTTAACTTTAATGAACGGAAAATAAGCAAGACTGTACTGTGGATGCCTAAAGGTCTGTTGAAAAGCATAATACAACAATCGACAAAATAATCCAGAACTAATAAATAGGATAAGATGCAAAATCATTTCACACTCGTTACGAAATCTCGGTTAAATGACGCAATGTTTGTGGTTAGGAAAGATATCTTGAAGCAGTACCCGGGACAGGTTTGCCGCATACGATCAAACGTTCTCGGCAATGGGCCATGACCTCATGCTCTACCATTATAGAAGATATCTCTAATTGAAGAATTACTGCCATTTCAATTTGAGACATTAATAGTATTCTCGCGCGTACTCCCAAATTAAACGGGTAATCGTCCATCTTAAATAAGAATAAGAGATTATTTTGAAAACAGGGATGAGACGGATTACAACAGTTTGCATATTTGAATGGCGAAAATCGGGTTAATGTTATGATTTTATCATCGACGGTCTTGCCAATTATTAGAGCCTCCTAAATCATTATATCGAATGATTAGGGGCTGCCGATCATTGAGCGGCAAAACGTTCTCAGCTTCATGGAATACGATCTGGGCATTAAAGTGGCAGTCATTGTGTAACTAATTATCAGAATTATTGGTTTATTAGATCAACACGCAGCTTAACTTTTAGATATGGCAGGGCAGACTGTGTCTGACTCGAACAAACTGGGCAAAACATTGAGGACTAAAACATGAGAAGTTTATCATTGAAAAGATATTCTGGTCGGCTATAGTTTATTCATTGTCATGTTATGATTTTCCCAATTTTACCTTATACCCAATATTACAGGCAGCATCTGTCGGGGGCGATGAAAATGAGCGGCGCTCAACTGCGGACACAGCTCTGTCTCAGTGCTGGGGTCAGTATAGCGGAGGTTAGAAAGTTTGAGACGGCCCACAAGACCCTTAAAGATGAGGAGATGAATATCCTTTTCTGTGATCATCTCAACTCGCTTAGGAATGATAGAGGTTTGTTGTGTTTTAACTATCTGTAATTCTGATCTACTGATATCGAATAGATTGTTAACTAAATTGGTTATAATTATATGACAGATTTATTAATCTTAAAGAATTAACGTTCTATTAAGACGTTGTGTTAACCACTCTCTCGCGACACAGGACGAGATACAAGTTATGTGAACACGAGACACATACCACCGGTTCTAACTGTACAGCCTGCTGAAAGAGACCGTACCACTGTGGTGGACAGGGTAGCTGTATACAACTCCACCCAGCCCTCCTCCTCTTCAAAATACGAAAAGTATGTCAGCCCTCACATTATCATACATTCCTGCTTATTTTATAACGTCACTTTTGTGACGTAATTAAGTTCTAATTATCCTTCTAATTTCTCAGGTTATCGACCCGCTACTGCACCAGTGTATCAGAATTAACACTCACCCAGCAATGTAGATCCTCACCTAAAGTAGCTGAGAACTGGTTAGATCTGGCCGCTTGCCAGACTTCGCGCGGCGCGGAGGTTGGGGTCGTTATAGCTACACTTAGCAAGGCTCTTCAGGCTAACAAGAACAGCACGGTAAGTTTCCGTATTAATATTTTTAGGTAAAGCTGCGTCCAGTCTTTGAAGGCAGGACCATAGTTTTCAAGCAGTTGACCAAGCAGTTGACATACCAGCCAGCTAAATGAGACATTTTGTTAATAATTTCTCCTTTTCCTCACTTTTGGTGAGGACGCAACTAAATTTTTTATGAAATCCTTTTACTTTTCCATTACTGTGATGTCACGGAACCACTCTGCTCCTCAGGCGCTGTGGACTGAATATCTCCGAGTGAAATCTCTTGTTATCTCGGTGTCTGATCTAACTGGTCTCTACCAACAAGCCCTCAGACTCGCACCCTCTCCCCTTCTGTGGCGCAACTTTGCTCCAAAACTCAACTCACTCAAAGAGAGAATATCAGCTCTTGACTCTGCTTTACAGATTTGTGGTATTTATTTATTTATTGACTGTATGCTCATGAACTCTGGTTTTGTGCCCCGTTTTACGTTTAAAACTTCCAACTGCTAAGACATTCAATAAAAATGTAATCAAATTTTAAGACATTGTTTTTTGTAGATATGACGACATCGGCAGACAAGAAATATTACGGAGATTTGCTGAGGGACAAACTCCTACTCATTTATCATGCTGGACAGGACTCCATGGTGGAACAATTTGATATCGTCTTCCAAGACCTCGGCAAATTACTCAACCATCATCTGGTAATACATACATTTAATTTTGGCAACGGAATTCAGTTCTACTGAACTCACTTTTTCATGTATTTGTTAAAGATTAGCTAAAGTTTGCTAAAAAATTAACTAAAATCGTTAAAGATTAACTACCGCAATTATTGCCAATAATACTTTCACTCGGACCCCAAAACAGATTCTGACCCTTTCTTATCAATTTCAATCCTTGAACCTTAACCGAAGACGCCCCCCCCCCCCCCCCCCTGCCCCCTTAACCATCCCTAACACTGGTATATCCTAATCAGGTGTGGTTTGTGCAGCAATATATCTCGTACCTACAAAATGGTGAGGTGTTAGAGGACCCTGCCCAGATAACAATTCAACCCAACAACCCACCCAGTAGGGTCCAGAAGGTTCTAGATTTAAGAGAGAAGTTGGTTTCTTCTGTCTCCGATGACACTAAGATTCTTCTCGTTCTACACAGATTGTTCTCGAAGCTATTGGCTCTCTCAACTGGCCCTGAACAAGCCATCGATTATTTGTTCGAGGTACTTTACTTCTTTGCTTTTAATAAGTTTTGATATCGCATAAAATCAGTCAACAGTCTTTCTACGAAGCGTTTGAATTATACGAGTATTAATTCCCAGAGTATGGAGATAATTTAAATTTCAGGTGTCAGAGAAAGTTCCAGAATTGTATGAACTGCTTGAAGATATAGTAGAGCTTGGCGGTTGGGTTGAACCTGATGTGCCCTGGCCTAAACTTGTATACCTGCAGGTAAAGTTCTCACATCATGTTTGATTTGAAAGATATATTTTGATAAATAAGGTCTGTCTGATCTACCATACTCCCAATAACAATTAACACTGCCATGTACCTCAGATGGGTACTGCCGAAAAGAACGGACACCCAGAGCTGGCTCTGACCTTGTCACGTGGTCTTGTAACGACCTTATCTGGCTCTTCTGCTGAGAACACCCTACAGTTATACAGGTATTATTATAGTGTGTGTTACAGGTATCCTCTGTCGTGGCTGACGCTGTGAGATACTATATTATGGGAACTTTAGTTTCCAGTTTTAACGTACTGGAAATTAAGTGAGAGGTCCTCTCTAAACCTAGTGGGTCTGAATGTTTTTGCTGTTTAGTCATGGGTTTTTCGTGATACATATTATGTGAAGATAAACGTGTAATGGGGAAGCACTCGATTACAATTTAGCAAATCTTCCATGATCGGCAAAATTTCTATTCGATTATGAAATGTGATTCATCAAGTTTGACTTCTTGGTTACAATTGTTGGAAACCATGTGATTCTGTGATTTGATTCCCATGGGAGCAGTCGGCGATACGATCTCGTGATCACCTGACACGACACGTGACCTGTCGATATGCTAATTAAAAGTGGGAGATCTAATAACCCCTTGTTGGGATCACATCAACGTCATGACAGCTATAACGAGCTCGTTAATACATTACGACTAAATATTGTAAAATCACGGTATAAATACCGACTCTTATCTCATCTATTTATTAGTTCTGAAACGTTCCTCAACAGTCTTCCTACATTACCACCTACAACATGACACTCCCTAATTGCAATCCTTCCACTCCAACTTCTCATTTACCAACTAGGCAGAAAAGAAAGATACTGGACCTGAAAACTTATCTTTCCCGATCAAAGATACCCTCTATCTCTTCTGAAGATAAACTATCCCAACAGATGGTTCATGCATATCAATACATTTCCAAACCTATCTCATCTGATTCCACTCCAGCTATACAGAAGAAAAAGAGACCTCCTCCCTTGGACCTCCAACATACCCGCTCGAAGAGGATCTTTTTATCTCAACCAGATAAAGTCACCTACCATAATATAAAAGATCCTTACTCTCCAACTAAATCTACATCACCTTCTGAACTTATGTCTCCTCTTGAAGCCTCTAAACGTAGACAATTACCATCCTGTTCTATAACAGAGACTTTCCACTCAGTTCACTCCCCCAACATCCACTCTCCTGCTATCATCAGAATGCGAACTAGTTTTACCTATTCCCAGTTACAAACTCTGGAGGAGACCTTCTCCGAACAGAGTCGGATCAGCCGATTACATGGTCATCAGATCGCTGGACAGTTTGAACTTCCTGTTGAGTGCATCACTTCCTGGTTCTCAAACAGACGAGATTTACAAAGGAAACGAGATGAACGTAAATCTCGTTGATTTTAGAGAAACAAAGCTAGACTGTATTTTTTAAATTGTTTAATATTTTTAACAGTATGTAAAACATGATAATCTAGCTACGCTTTGAAATAACGTTTCGATCAAATTGAGATTATTTTGGTTAGAAAAATAATACTCAATTGTAATTTAATAATCAATTATTATAATCAATTAACAATCATCAATTAATACACTTGTGTTTGATTATATAACCCAGTAGAAACTAACTTCACAGGGAAGTACTAGGACTAACGATTGGAGCACGAGTAGTTGCACAGTACGATAGTTTATCACGTGGGTTACACCGTACTTGGTTACACCTGTGTTACGGTCTCACAGCTCACCTCAACCCGGTGGATCCTGTTCTGCAGTACAAGTTATTCTCAACTAGACTCGCTACTGTGTTCCCTTCATCTGAACAGCTCAATGCCCTCCGAGATGCCATTTCAAATGAACCATCAACTCAGGGTGCTCAAATTCTATGGATCAGGCAAGTTCTAATCTAGAATCTTAATGTCTAAACAAAATACCATGAATAATGTAATATCAATTTTCCTAAGTTTTAACGTAAAAGAATTTGTAAACACACATCTGTTCGTACTAGATATCTGGACGTTCTGGAGAAGGCATCTGAGAAAGATAAACAACTTATCAGCGTAAGGAGGCTATTTTGTTTTTAATTTTATTGGTCCCAGCTTGTCCGGAACGCTTGAACACCTGTCATTGTACTTAAAAGTGGAGCGTTCACATTTTATGTTATCAATAGAGCTTTTTTGGGATTCTTAACCATTGCTATGTTGTGTAAAAGCACAAACGGGAAGGGGCGGGAAGAGGGACTGGGTACCATAAATTGGTTACGTAAGAATAAGATGTGAACGTAAGTTACACGATTTTATGATATGTATTTTTGTTATAAGACAAAGTCCTGTAGTGTGCTGTTTTGTGTCAGGTACTACAAAGGGAGATGTTACACTGTATAAAATCTGTCCCAACTCTCTCAAACGACAACTTTTCCTTTCACAACCAGGTTCATTTCTATCTCTATCTCTGAATCATATGTACAATTTTCAAAACTTTACTAATCCAGACGTTTTTCGGTTATCATGACGTACGATTTAAAGTTATTCTTTCTATTTGTTTTCTTTCAGTGTTCTAAATTGCTCCCAGTTCACTTGATCTTCATGAAGATTTGTATATTATATTACTAACTGATAATTTCAAAGAACGACCTGCTCTGAGATTTGGAGGCCGCGTGGTAAGACTCGCTCGTTTAATAACACCCGCAGCACCAAAGTCTGAGCTTTTAGTTCGTTTATTACATGAAAAAAATAGAAAATTAAATTATGTTTAAAGCATGTAAAAACAGAACCAGCTTAAGTCAAAGTTGAAAAAAACTATAAAAAGATGAAGAGATTAAAAATATCATAGAATACTAACTATGACAGTGAAGAGAAAAGAAAAAGAAGGAAAAAAACAAAGAAAAAAGAAAGATGTGACAAAATGAAAAACAAAAGCAGAAACAAATTTACCGAAGATTCAAAAACAAAATGTATGAGTTTGATGACAAAGATGATCGAATTAACTCTCATTCTCAAAAGTAAAAGAAGATTTCATTTCTATAACGAGATGCATGTCTGAAGCGAGGGTAAGTGAATCTGTGTTTACCACGCCGGCCAGACCTGTATACCCGTCCCCGTTTTAGGTGATCTCGGCGCTGGTTTCGCACTACGCAACCCCCCAGGAGCGCTTTAGGGAAATATCTCACCATCTCTTAACTTACAGGAAAAATAAGGAACTTCTTATGTTGTAAGTTTGACTTTCTATAATATAACGAGGGGGAAATTAGTTGTTTTAAGTGAACAGAATTACTTTCTATCAGTGTCATTAGTAAAATTCATATATACGCTGCAGGCTACTATTAAATATAATTGTAAATTTCAGTAAACTAACTTCTAAGCTTATATTGTGAAGCTGTCTGTCTCCCTTCTTCACAACTAATTTCCTCCCCTAACGAAATGAACGAGTCTAAATAAGCTTAAATTATAATTCTTGTGGATTAATACGAAAGAAGGAAAGTTACTCTGTAAGTGTGAATTAAAATAACCGTTACAATTTCAAATTTGATTTTTCTTCAATTTAATGAAGATACTTCCTCCCCTCTCAGGTTTTACAACGAGTTGGCACATAGCAACCCACTCTCCACTGTTCAGCTATTTAAGGAACTCCTAAAGGACAATCCGTCGTGTCCTAAGCTCTGGTCAAAGTAATCACAAAATTCAGTCAAATCCTTGTTCGATGAATTCATGAAAGTCAATTATTGAAAACCAGTTGTGGATTTTGCATTTAATAATCATAATAGTGTAGATATAAATGCACCTATGACCATCTCAATACGATTTACGATGTATCTGTTAGGAATCTTTCGTGGATTGCTTGATCATGCAATGCCAATGATTGAACATTTGAAGTATTAGTAATCGCACAATCTTTTCGATCAAATTATGGATACAGTGCAAACTAATATTATTATTAATATTAGGAACTTACTTTTGGATTTTGAGGTATCTCTTAATAGTAACCGCAGCATTTTACAAATTTGTCTCAGGCTGATGGAGTTATCGGAGAGTTGTCAGATAGTGACTGAAACAAGAGAAATCGCCCGGACTGCTATCAATACGCTTCCTCTCAACAGTTCACTGCTCCTTCAGGTCACTACCAAGTACCACCCCACTACCACTACCACTACCACCCCACCTAACCACACCACTACCACTACAACCCCACTACCACCCCACATAACCACCCCACTTAACCACCCCACTACCACGCTGCTTTCTCTTTAATTTCGTTCATATACAGCGCAATTAACTTTCAACTTTGCTCCGTGTGTAGTTGTCGAATATGTACATGTGCATCTTATTTATATCCATTGCAGACCTTGGTGTTCGAGTTGAGAAACTGTTCTGACGCGGAGGATCAGCGGAACCTGACCGAGTGGGCGCTTAAACGAGCAAAAGAGCGGGGGATCGCGTTCAAAGCGTCATGTAGCGAAGGAAACAACTTACTACCTAGCGCCTGAGTAAGGTAAATAAAAATTGGACAGTGATCAAATTGAAGCTATTTTCTGAGTTTTAATAAAATCAGGATCTAAGTACACAGATTTTATGACGATTGAAAAGATATACAAATTTCTCGCAATTTAACAATATCAGACAGAATTCTAATGCATATTCAATAATGATAGTTATACAGTATACACTGATGGTTCGAAATAAGTAACTACATTTGTTTTCTATGCATGCGTTTCTTCATTTTCTTGGTTGATTAAAACTAAAGATGAATTCCGAATCTCGAAATGTTTGGGTTTCAAGTATTGATATTATGTTTTTTAAATTACAATTGGCGAACAATTTTTATTATATTTTTAAAAATTTCTTCCATTTTGTTAATTGTGAAAATTGTTTGATTGGTGTTTTTGTGCTAATAATGAATGATTATATTAGCAAGATATTAATCTAATGTCGATGTATGATAATCTATACTCATCATTCATTTTAACCATTACAAATACAAACTGTTTTACTTCCTCTTTCTTTTCTTATGAGCAATGGGGGACGGTTAATTAACGGTGGACCTTTCATGTTTCAATCATTTGAGAAAATGCTGGATGCCTAATTTTTTCAGAGACGGTAGATTAGCAAATACTGCATCTGATCTGAAAAAATGATGTAAAACAGATTAGAAATGACGAGGTTATCAAGCATTTTGTGTATCTCGTAAGCAAAATTGATCGGGTGATTATGTGATTGTGACACCTTAAATTTAATTACTGGGCGGCGCTCAGCCTGTCATTCCGCCTAATCTCTATTCGGTTTATTATGTTTATGAACATAATAGCCTGGGGTCCCTAGGTAACACCTTAAATTTAATTGTTAATTTGGCAGCCTTAACGATTCCCATAATGTTTAACGGGGTCACTCTATCACATGATTAGGTAAGCCAATCACCTGATCACACGTAATGAATAAACTCCTTATGCTTCGTAGTTTGTATCTCGGTCATCTGAGAAGCTACATCTCTATTTTTTCAGGACAAACCTAATTCAATAAAATTTAGCTCGATCCGACTATCTAAACTATCAAATAAATGCAAAAATGAACCCTTATTTGAAAAAAATGAACACGAATATTTTTCGAGTTGATAAATAATTCTAACTAGTGGTGGTACTAAATCATACCTGATACTTACTGGGCCGCGCTCAGCCTGTCATTCCGCCAAATCTTTATTCGTTCATATATGTTAATGAACATAATAGCCTGGGGTCCTCAGGTAACCAGCAAGCTGTCGGGAATTATCGCGCTTAGCACTCAGTAGCGGAGGTATTATTGTATTATATTAATTAAGCAGCGGTCCACTTTATTATTTATCCGTGATTATGGGATTCGGTCAAATATTGTTTCTTTTTGATTATAATGTCAGGGTACTTTACAAAGGCAAAAGGTAAACTCATAACTTCATTACTATTATAACAAGGAGGTGATTTCAACGATTTCGGAATTTTACCTTTGAAAACATTGCCTTGTGTTTAATTGTCATACGTTGTACATTGTATGACCCGCCGCGCACGAGTGCGCGGCTCCCCCTGTATCGTAGAAACTCTACAGTGAAGCGACAGTGGGGGTCACCACGTGATACAAGTGTTTAAGTAAGCATATCTGTCGATAAGTGACTTAATATGGCACTTTTTACTTATTCAAGCACATCAAGTTTGGAGTTGGCATTAGGAAAACAAATTTAAATTTTGGTATTTATTAATAACAATCAAAACATATCATATCTTGTATCACGTTGCGACCCCCACGGTCGTTTCACTATCGTCCTGACGATACAGGGGGAGCCGCGCACTTCGTGCGCGGCGGGTCATACAACGTATGACAAATCATATCATAAAAATAAAGCCGCGCGTTGGTTGACTGCCTCAGTACGGTGAATAATATAAGCTCGAAGGTGCCCTGCGCATTTACAGAACCTCATGCGGCGAGATCACATGATCATGAGGACCTGTGAGCGCCAAATTTAATTTAAAGTTTCTAGAAATCATACATCACTACGAGTTCATATATAATGCTTGACGGATGTTACTCGTCTAAATTTCTTCGAAGTAGGCGCGCGCGCGCCGCTTTCTTCTCGATGGCAAGTGCTACGAAGTAGCGCGCGCCGGGCCAGATCATTAACAATGGTCAAATATAATGCCATTTAAATGTTGTAAGAAAGCAGAATTTATTCGAAATAACAAATAACAAAATAACGAATGAACAAATTTCTCACCTTTCGCACATGCAAACTTTGAGCGGACGTTGCGTACGCATACAATAATGAATCAACATACATTTTTGCATAGTGGTATTTTATATATAGTTTGATAAGCATGCAAAGTTTCAGAAGATTTCAAAAATAACTTGGATCACAACGGGACTCCAAAGTTGATAAAAATCATGAAAATAACAGTTTTCAGTGATTTTAGCAATGGAATTGTCAATTCTATGTCAATTCTAGAATCTTTATCTTTTCTAAACACACTAAATCCTTCAATATAAAGTTCGGCATCTAATATATCACTACTAAAATGAGTTTCTGTTACATAAATTACCTCAATAGATTTATACATTTAATTGATACAATTTATTTTAGTTCATAAATTTTATTAAATAGGCCGTTAGCATTGGTATAATTCATATTTAAGGGCAGGGCACTGCGGCTGGCTCCAGTGGCGTAACGTTGCCTGTTGGCGCCCCCTGCCGAAAAGGCGCCCCCTGTGGGCGCCCCCCCCCCCTTTTGGTGCCCCTCCCTAAAATTGAACAAATTAGGTGATTTTAAAGAATACGCCGGTAAAATCTCTAAAAAAGTGTGTATCTAGAGCAAAACGCGCAGTTTTGCTAGTACTTTAGTTAAGTTTTCGAAATTGTCCCACATTCAAACGACGATTTGGCGCCCCCCTAAGACGGCGCCCCCCTGCACAGCGGGGTCAGCAGGGCCTTTCGTTACGCCACTGGCTGGCTCTACTGCCTCTGTCTTCTCTGTCTCTGCTTTCTTTGCTTCCTCATGCCTTTCCTTCCTCTCCTTTCTGGCTAAAAAACGAATATCTCTGTCTGCCTTGCAGAGGTCCTGGTCGATCCAATAAGTAGACTAAAGTTGACTCTTTCCTCAATTCTAATAATTCTAATAATTCTCAATGAAACAATAAGTTTTAAGTTTTCAATGAAACAATAAGTTTTATTTTATATTCCTTTAATCATAAATAAAATAAGAGCTTAAACCACGAATTAGTTAACTAGAAGTAAACTTGAGGAAATAATTCTAATTCCTTCGTCTTCTCTGTCCCTCTTTTCTTTGCTTCCTCCTGCCTCTTCCTCTCCTTTCTGGCTAAAAAACGAATATCTCTGTATGCCTTGCAGAGGTCTAAGTTGATCCAATAAGTTGACTCTTCCCAGTCTAGTCCTTACCATGGTCAGTGTAGAAATTGTCTGACTCTTTATCTCGTGTCTGGATGATGAGCAGGCGATGGTGGTCTGGCTTGTCAGGATCAATTTTGCCAGAGCGATGGCAGCTTATCATGTCGTCCTTCTTAATCTTTAGGGTCTCCCTGCAGAACTATGAGTCATCCTCCTGGCATCCCCTATCAAGATTCCTGAGGTCAGTGCACACATGTTGGGTCTTACACCACCGCCGTGTTTCATATTTAAGACTTGTTGCTTTGTAGATGACATACTGACTAATGTACCGCCAATTCTGTTTTTAAAGGCCACCAATCAACACTGAATTGCTTAACATAACATTATAAATAATGCCTCTCTGGGCATCTCAAAAAGAAATTCATAGAAAATGAACACTTTACGTTTGAAACCATATAATTACAAACTTTTTAAAAAATTTAACTAAATACCTTTGATATTAACCTTGCTTACATTCGTGTTTGCGAACATACTAGAAAATTCATTGTAAAATATTGCAATAGTTTTAACTATTGCAATAAATTTAATTTAATTAAAATTAAATCTGGAATTTGATCTGAGAATATGATGATGAGCAATTTGATTATCTCGTTAGCAAAATTGATTGGGTAATCATGTGATTGCATGCTACGATACTGTAATTGGGCTCTCTGTACGATTCCCATAGTGTCAACCCAATCACTTGATCACTCGTAATGAATAACCTCGTTTTGCTTCATATCTCTGTCATCTGAGCTAGAACTCTCATTTTTCAGGTCCAATGTAATTTGAATGGCCAAACACAATTCCATACAATTTAGCTCGATCCGATTAATCAAACTATCAAATAAATGCGAAAATGAACCTTCATTCGAAAAAAATGAACCTGAATATTCTTAGATTTGACCTATTCCTTGAATGAGTGGTGATATTAAGGGGGCAGGCCGCAGGGGGGGGGGGGGGGGGGGGGGGGGGGGGGGGGGGGGGGAATTATGAAATTTCTCTCCAAATTTATTTTATAGTTAGTTCTGATGAGGGGAGTGATATATCTACTAGTTGTTTTTGGTCCCATGGAAAAATTTTGTTCCTAGCCGAAATTATCGCCGGTCAAAGGTCAGCCCTCATGTGTAATTGTATTGCGCGACTCGATTTTCAGGGCGTGCAATTGAAAATCAATTTCGAGAGAAATTTCATAAAGAACCCCCCTGCCCCCTGAAGTCATAATAGAAAGAATTATTTCAATCAGGCCAATGTATGTGCGCTGACTTGTGCCCCTCCCCCCCCCCCCCCCCCCCCCCCCCCCCGGCCCTGTATGCCAATTTAGCTTCAAACCCATTTCAATTCACTCACAAATGATACCATATATTTTAAGTTCCATGCATTCACCCCATTCACTTATTTGCAGGATCATGGATCATGACATTTCATTGAAGTTAATTCACCTTAAAAAACTGTATGTCGTATGATGGACTCAAAACTAGTTCAATCACTAAAGTTTTTATTTAAAGGACTCATTAGTCCTAAATTATAACTTGGACACTTCACTTCGTAAATTAAGGCCAATAAACTCTGTATAACTATTCATGATAGAGAATCCAAAAAGACAACCTGAATTAGGGAAATAGTATTCATGGTGATATGAGAGGCAGATCTGGTTACAGTCAAAGAAGTTTTGCCAGATGAGCCAAACTATTCTGTCTCTCAGGTGAATGTGGGAGCTCTGTACCAATCCCATGCTGATGAGGTTAAGAGAAAGAGAGGAGACTACTGTAGTAGATGGGGATTTGAACTGTGTCAGCCCCTTACACCGTCTGATGAGACAATTTCTTTTGTTTTGCTCCTCTATCATCTCAGGAGTGGCATTTTTATGTGGACCAAGTCATTCTTGCAAATGGGGCAGTCACATCATTTCTTTGCTCAAGCCAAGACAGAAGCCAAGAAGCATGTGAAAACACGCACTGGCATAATCATTTACCATGGATGCTGCTGATCGAAGTGGTTAAGGGTAGCAACGCCCAGTGACATAAAGTGATGAATCTAAGAATCTAATTCCTAGCCTAATTTTTGTCAACAAAATTATTAAATTAACTTTAAAATAGTCCTCTCGGTTGTTACACACTGTAATGCCGCGCACTGCAACTGCACTTTAATTCCATATTTATCCGAGAAGACGTTCGAATCTAGCGCAAATGCAAGATTCCTGCAGATTCCTGAAAGATTCTTGCGCTTGCGCGTCAGATTCCAAGGTATTCCTGTCAGATTCCAAGGTATTCCTACTACCAGTCTGGTAGTATGGTAGTATGGTAGTATGCGCGAACACGTCGTTTAGATTCTTGACGACCCTTAATCAATTAAGGGGCCATCTGCTTACGAATTCCGGCAATTGAGGGTGGGGCCGGGGGGGTGGTTTTGGAATTTCGGACAGGGGAGGGGATAGTCTGATAATCTGCGATTTTGGCGGACGTCCTAAGTAGCAGGCACGTAGACAGGGGGGGGGGCCGGGGGGGCTAGGGGGGCAGCAGCCCCCCCCCCCTTAAAAAATCGAACCCCAGAAGAAAAAAAAGCCCCCTAGTCCCCATGGTTGCCTGGTAACTGGGCTGTGTTTATGACTGCAGTCAGTCAAAGATTTGAACTGTGGATTAGTAAATATCTGTCATAACATCCAAGCAAACATTCTAGAAGACTTCTATAAATAGTCAATAGTGTCCCCTAGACCGTAGGAAATGTAAAAATCTTAAGACGATGAGGCCTGAGTAAGTCGTAAATTCTGATTGGAGAATGCAGATTGCTGTTGTGAAGTTACCAAATTTACGTGAGTACTTGATTCTTTTCAATCTCAGTTTATTGCTGTCCTACAAATTTATTTAATTATGCCAAATATCGTCTAAAACACCCTGTTTCGCAAAAATTTTCCGGGGGGCTGCGCCCCCCTAGCCCCCGCCAAGGGGCTCCGCCCCTGGACCCCTGCGCAGCTGGATTGGACACGTCGGCTCCCTTCGCTCGCCGACAGCCCCCATCAAAGAAAAATCCTGGCTACGTCCCTGCTAAGTAGTTGGCCTCTAAACTGTCAAATTAGTATTGTTCGGTGAAGTCATGGATAAGAATGTACCAGATAGCTTTATATCATCAAAATATCTTGAATAATTAATTTGAATTTAGATATCACGTGACTAACCATAATATCTAAATATTGCCAAGGAGACACTGGGGGTCTATTCAAAACCATGTGGCACTAATTTCTACTTCGTCTCCAATATCCATCCTAACATTATACAGTACTAAAGCAATCACTAAGACTCTACCCTAACGAGAATTCGTAGAAACATCCTGTCCAGGTAATAAGAGGCACGCTTGAAGATAGGATTCATTTGCTCGCTCCGGTAATACAATGATAACCACTCTTTGATTTCCGAGATATGATATAAATCCCATCTTAATTATATATTTCTAGTTTACTTTAGTATTATTATCGAAGACGACACGTGATCCCGCAGAAGCAAGCTTCTGATCTAAGAGTCACAACCAAAATATCAACACTATGTCGAAGCCACCTTTTGGGCAGCGAATCGACGGATCCATTAATGTGTGGGATATGTTTAGCGTCATTCAACTTGGCAGTTGGATGATGTGAATAAGTGAATCATTGCGGACCATATGTTGCTTGAAAAATATATCCTTGTGTTTCAAATAAATCTAAGAAACAAGGATGTTCAAGTGTCAAATGTGTGAAATATTCTATGAGCAATTCGAGGAAGTTATTGGCTCCCCTACAATGCCTGTAACATAATGTGGTGGGCAATTTCTCTCTTTGCGAAATTGATGGAAGGGTTTTCAGGACCTATAAATCTATTAAAATTTCAGCATGTCATGCAATCTTTAAAGAATGAGATAAATGAACTGCACGAAAAGCTTAGCCAGGCAGGAGAACAGGTACTTTCTGTTTTATGAATTTCTAATGTTTATCTCATATACTATTTATATTTAACTGGATTGTGATTAATATCTAACCTCACCTTGTAAAATGTTCCATACAATTTAAACTCAATATAAAATATTTGTTTCTTTTTTCAGGCACGTTTAAAGATCCTATCCCGGAATGTCGACGAAATCTTATTTACATTCCTAGACAATTCTGAAAAACATCATTCAATCACCTGCAACATATTTGTAAGTTGTGACGTTACTTCTTTTTTTATTGGTTGTGAAGTAAGGGGAGGGGTCAAAATACATCTTAATATAGAGCAATTGTAGGTATTGAAAGAAGATGTACATTGTACAATGGTTAAGATGGTTAAAATGGTTATAATGGTTATATAATGGTTAAAATTTAGCAAAACTATTATAACAATTAATGTGCAGGAAGGATACCCCGACCAGGCCCCATTGTGGTGTACAGCATCTGATGACACCACTATCAACAATGCTATCGACAAAATCAACAGTTCAGGACGAAGTGTAAGAGTCTCTTATGAAATAGCGAAATTTCCAACTTTCATGAACTTATAATTTGTTTTAATCATTGTTCGTAGAAAGACGTTTTATGTAAGGGCGTAAATTTAAGCAGGCCATAGTATCTTGTTCGCTATGAAGTAAGCCTGAATACAGGCTCTGATTTACTGACTATATTTAAAATCGAAACAAGTTGGCTGATAGATAACGGTCATAATTATTACTTACTAGTAATTTAAGGAGAAAAAGAGCTGTTTTGACGAAACCCTAGACAATTCTACCCATCGACTCGAAACAAAGCAGAATTATTTTAAGTTCCTCCAAATAGGTTACCAGCTGAGTAGCTCAGACATTATGTAGAACAGTCTGGTTGATAATAATCAGTCAGACAAAAGACTTATCAATCTTACATAAAACAAAACATATTATATTTATTTTACATATTTTACATATTTTACATATTTTACATATTTTACATATTATACGTATTATACGTACAGGGTGGCCCATAAGTGACTACCCACACGCAACCTCTTAATAACTCACGTAATTCGTCTCCAAATTGCACCAAAATTTCAGAGATTATAGATATGGGTCAAACTTAGATTTCCTGAAAGTTTCGTAAGCCACGCCCAATTACAGTGGGCGTGGCGTGACACTCCCTCTTTTTCACTATTGTCTTCATAAAATGAGAACGCTTTAAGCTAAGAACTCAAAATTTTTTGCACACATTTGGCTTGATAATTGAAAACTTTTCCCAAAGTTTCAAGTTCATTGGTTAAAATATGGCTAAGTTATGACCATTTCAAAACTCATCGGATACGTGATCCGAGCACTCAGTCAGTGATCTCGTCACTTGGTTAATGGCCTGTTTGGCTCACATGCACCGCTTGATTGGTTGCAGCCTGCTTATGGGCCGGCCTATACAGCTGACAGCACCTAAAACGCTATCAAACGAATTTATGGTGGTGTCACCATTTCAGGGCTTGTTAGCCCTGCTAGTCACAGGTTCCTTACAATCAATAAAAAGGAATGAAGTCCTGACCTTACACCGTGTGACTTCTTCCTGTGGGGGTGGGTGAAGGACCAACTCTATAAGAGATATCCTATTGCAACCATCACGCAGCTAAAGCACCACCTGATCGACATCATCCATAATATGGACCCAGCGTTTGCTACGAACGCTTGTCGGAGTGTGAAGAAGCGGTGCTTCAAGGTGATTGCAGCTGGGGGACGACAATTTGAACATCTTAATTGAAATTATTGAATTGTTTTTGTGTGGGAATCTTTATTAGCTGATTTCATTTATTGATTTATCCTAAAAATTTGTGTTTTCCTTTCTAGCAAAGTCATCATCGGTATCCAATCAAAGCCTAATGAACCTCATTAATACACGCTAACGCCTTACTCTTGATCAGATTGGGTGACGAGATCACTAATTGAGTGCAAATATCACTGACTGACTGCTCGGATCACATATCCGATGGATTTTAAAATGGTCATAACTCAGCCATATTTTAACCAATGAACTTGAAACTTTGGGATAAGTTTTCAATTATCAAGCCAAATGTGTGCAAAAAATTTTGAGTTCTTAGCTTAAAGCGTTCTCATTTTATGAAGACAATAGTGAAAAAGAGGGAGTGTCACGCCACGCCCACTGTAATTGGGCGTGGCTTACGAAACTTTTAGGAAATCTAAGTTTGACCCATATCTATAATCTCTGAAATTTTGGTGCAATTTGGAGACGACACACGCAACCTCTTAATAACTCACGTAATTCGTCTCCAAATTGCACCAAAATTTCAGAGATTATAGATATGGGTCAAACTTAGATTTCCTGAAAGTTTCGTAAGCCACGCCCAATTACAGTGGGCGTGGCGTGACACTCCCTCTTTTTCACTATTGTCTTCATAAAATGAGAACGCTTTAAGCTAAGAACTCAAAATTTATTGCACACATTTGGCTTGATAATTGAAAACTTTTCCCAAAGTTTCAAGTTCATTGGTTAAAATATGGCTAAGTTATGACCATTTCAAAACTCATCGGATACGTGATCCGAGCACTCAGTCAGTGATCTCGTCACTTGGTTAATGGCCTGTTTGGCTCACATGCACCGCTTGATTGGTTGCAGCCTGCTTATGGGCCGGCCTATACAGCTGACAGCACCTAAAACGCTATCAAACGAATTTATGGTGGTGTCACCATTTCAGGGCTTGTTAGCCCTGCTAGTCACAGGTTCCTTACAATCAATAAAAAGGAATGAAGTCCTGACCTTACACCGTGTGACTTCTTCCTGTGGGGGTGGGTGAAGGACCAACTCTATAAGAGATATCCTATTGCAACCATCACGCAGCTAAAGCACCACCTGATCGACATCATCCATAATATGGACCCAGCGTTTGCTACGAACGCTTGTCGGAGTGTGAAGAAGCGGTGCTTCAAGGTGATTGCAGCTGGGGGACGACAATTTGAACATCTTAATTGAAATTATTGAATTGTTTTTGTGTGGGAATTTTTATTAGCTGATTTCATTTATTGATTTATCCTAAAAATTTGTGTTTTCCTTTCTAGCAAAGTCATCATCGGTATCCAATCAAAGCCTAATGAACCTCATTAATACACGCTAACGCCTTACTCTTGATCAGATTGGGTGACGAGATCACTAATTGAGTGCAAATATCACTGACTGACTGCTCGGATCACATATCCGATGGATTTTAAAATGGTCATAACTCAGCCATATTTTAACCAATGAACTTGAAACTTTGGGATAAGTTTTCAATTATCAAGCCAAATGTGTGCAAAAAATTTTGAGTTCTTAGCTTAAAGCGTTCTCATTTTATGAAGACAATAGTGAAAAAGAGGGAGTGTCACGCCACGCCCACTGTAATTGGGCGTGGCTTACGAAACTTTTAGGAAATCTAAGTTTGACCCATATCTATAATCTCTGAAATTTTGGTGCAATTTGGAGACGAATTACGTGAGTTATTAAGAGGTTGCGTGTGGGTAGTCACTTATGGGCCACCCTGTATTATACATATGTCATATTTATTATGTTATAGATGCAATGGACAAGACTGCAGCTCTTCTTCCGTTGACTTGAGGACTTGAAGGACAAATTATGTTGTTGGACGAGTTAAGAATAGAAATCTACAACAGAATCTTTGCAACATAAACTGACATGTAGTTATGAAAATATATGAATTCTGGTTAACCACAGCTGCAGTACAGAATATTTGCACATCTGTAACTGGTCTAAAGTTCTTGCTTAATTTGACAATAAGTATTGATTGAGGCAACTGGCCCCCAGACCTTCTATCGTTATATGCTATAATGACTAATAAGCTCTGTTTTAGGAGCATACTTAGAGTATACAAATTAGATCTACAATATGCGGATACGTGTGGGGAGGTACACCATTTATAAACACAGTTTATAAATGGTTTATAATAAACAAATGTGACCTAGTTTTATCGGTTTTCATCACCAAAACACTTCGCTCGAGTCTCGACGATTGATGAAACACGTGTTGCTTGTTGTCAAGAGAAAAGACTAACGGTGAACTAGGAATAAGATCCAATCTGAACAATTAGACAATTTAAGAGCTGTAATCCGGTATTGTATAAACATAGCCCAGCTTGTGGATGTATACAGTCTAGGGGCCAGGTGTGGGCAGGTTTAGTGGTTCAAGGAAGTAAATTGTAGTATTATATTGATATTAGTAGGCTCATCATTATAACACATCTCGGTTTGATTGCTGAAATCATGAAGCCTGCCGTGTAAGGTCTGTACCAACTGCTCAAAAGTAAAATTTCCCTCCTGAAAATGACGATTTAAGGGTACAAATAAAAAGCAAACTTTGCTCTTAAATATATTATAACTCTGTGACTTTTCTTGATTTAAATTGCCGTGAATATCAACTATGGGATGTGACTTATAATCTCTAGTAAACACCTTATCTTCGTCGTTTACCCACAATTCTGGTTAGCTCCGATTGAACAAAAACAGCTGAGTATATACTCAAGCTTAGTGAATAACTCGCTTACATTTTCCTATAGATATAATGTTCGGTATCTGGTGAGGATGAAATGAGGCATGAGGCTGCCTGATTAAATACACTATTTGGGGGTACGTGATATGATATGACACTTCGTACATACACTATGTATACTATAACTATTATTCACTAAGGCAGTAGTTATCACTTCTTTAAAGTTTGATTACTTTATGCACTTGAAAACCTGGGTTTGGTGAACTATGATATGTACTGTTACGATTAGGTAACGCGTTAGATACTAAAAAACCCCGATTTACAGCGCCCCGATTTACTGCAAACCCCAATATACCGCGGCCATCTCCTTTCCCCCAAATAGTCCTTAACATCTATAATGTAAACAAACAAAACCCCGATTTACCGCAACTCCGCGGTAAATCGGGGTTTTACTGTATCTAGTTAGGAAAAAAACCAGATCACGTACTACAGTACGTACTGTTGCATCAGCCATCTAGCTAATACAGATATAGTACTAGTTGCTAGATAAGAGAGTAGCGACTGCATTTTTTTTTAAATGAAAATCTTTTCAAAATTTACATACAATATAACATGTGGCGCAAAATAAAATCAAAATTACGTAACATCTAGTATTACTATTGTCTAGAAGTTGGTCGGTCGCGATTGTTGCCTCCTGTTTTTTTGCCGTGTGAAAAAAAATTGAATGGAGAAACAAAACACAATAAAACTGAGTTGGTATCATCTCAGTACTGCTTGATTATATAAAACATTCACATTTCCAAGTAACGAAAAAATCTTGAAAGCCCTGGTAAGGCCAGATGATAAAGTTTTTTGCGCCTAGCTTTCCAGAATTTGAGCCAAATAGTAATACTAACTATGAGTCATTGAGTCAAACTGCTGTAAGTGTAAAGATGTGCGACCTGGGGGAAAGATCATGTGTCTACATGATTGTGTTGCAACTGGAGTATAAAGTATATTCTGGAGTATAAAGACTGTTTTACATAGCAAAAGATGTGCATTGTAAATTGATATTATATCAAGTTTAGGTCCTTAAATTTCAAAATCATGGGGCCCTTGATTCAATGGTCTGAATTTACCCCGTGTCTCAACATTTGTTTTTCCCATAATTTCCCACAACCTAATGATAACATAGCTGTACGAATTATGATAAACCTAATTAAGTACATTTGTTTCCTAACACTGTTTTCTATTCCTAGATAATGTCCGCCTCTCAAGTCCTGATAACGGAGCTATGTACTGCGTTTGGGCTGAGCTCCGCTTCTAACATAGACCTGTGTAACGGGGTGGGGTCCAGCAGTGCTACGCTCGAGTGTGACATGGTACTGTTTGTAGTGTTACTGGGGGTGGGGAGGGGAGGCACGAATAAGTTAAATCGGCATTAGCTTGTTAGCTACTACAGCTATAACGTTACCTGTTTTCTTTATTTGCGATAATTCTCTTTGATTAATGCACATGTAAACGAACCTTAGTACCATGATAGGTTTTCATGTTTTCATATTGGCTGCCTGTTCACGTGACTTTATAATTGTTCAGGATTCGGCCGATGACGCAGATTCTATTCTATCTGTAAGTTACATGGCTGATTTATTATTTCCTAGCAGTAACTGAATTCACCTGTCCCTTGGTCAACGTTGTTGCCTTCAAATCTATGACTACATTTAATCTACACTCGAACTCTCCTTTTGGCTGTGTTCCAAATCATGTTAATTTCTAGAGAGTTGTGCTTATTTGGCTAAACATTACAGGACGATATGAGTGAGGCGGATGTTCTTTCTGATACTAATATGGACAGGTGAGTTTCTTTTAATTTACCTCCTCAACCGTTCCTAAGTGGTGTCATATGAAATGAAATGGTGGAAACACGCTACATTTGATATTCTGAGTTCTGACAGCATACTTGCCGGTTTATTTGTGTACAACGCAACAGCCACTAGCAAACAATCACTTCACCGCTGTGGAGAGTGCCGTCAATTTGGAAAACGTGACTACTGAGCCGCGCAGTGCTATCATGCATTTTATGATATCATGACCATGTTTTGTTTCTCAGCATGACTACAAGTCAATTAAATATCCTCATAATCCGGATACAATTCACTGACATGATTACGTCATATTATCGTCAGTGCATCACATTTTCTGATTTGTCGACAATACTGCATCTCTTTTCAATGAAATATGTTCGATGAATGATGAGCTTGGTAAAACCTGAAATCAATAAAAACCATAGACTAGATCATGAAAATTGTGGTGGGCGGATTGAAAAACCATTTCTTTGAACCGGGGGTTGGCGAGACAGTGGGAGAGCAATGAATTTCAGCACTCAACTTTTCTGTGATCATATTTACAGCAAGCAATCACCAAACCGAGCGAACCAACCATAATTTTCAAGCAACCGTTTAGCATAACATATCGTCGAGCATAATCAGAGCTTGGTAAAGACAACAAATGTAAACACAGACTCCATCCTCACCCATTTTTAATCATTGCTGATTGCACACTGCACTGAATAGCGGGACTAGTAGTTGATATTTAATTGAAAGTTGTAATTCTCATTATTTCAGTGAGGAGAAGGCAGACATAGAATTAATGAAACCGGAACAGTTCGCTTCTCTGGAGCGAATAAAGCAGACTATTCGCAAGGATCAGGAACAGGTATCTTCACATTTTACTCTCATTCTGCGGTATAATATAAATTAATGATATGAACATGGCTATTCTGGTCTCTTGTTTAACCGTTTCATTTACATATTAGGTTAATATTTGGCCTCTTGCTTCAGGTTTTATAGATTTTTTGAAATCCTCTCATATTTTAATTCATACAGTAGGTACAATAACATAAGTACATAGTGAATAAGTACATACCTGACCCATGTCATGTAAGTTAATGCAACGATATCGAAATATTGCCAGACAATTCGCTAATTTCAAAGTTTTGGCGCGTCTCAACTAGCCTGCCATGAACTAAAATGAAATTTTGCAACTTTAAACCCTATCTCCATTTACATGGGATTGTTTTGAAATTTGGAAGGCACAATTACTAGACAGTATTCATTGTGTTGGTGCATGCCCAGTTTCAAAATGTATCCATGAACACTCAAGTCGGAGACATAGATTGAAATTTAAATATTATATGATAACTTTGTAGAATTACAATTGAAAATCACGCACACAATAGGATAACACATAATCGTTGTCTTAAATCTTAACTTCGGTTGTAACTAGATCTCACTCTCTTTCAGATAGCATAATATACAAATATCAAATATTATCATTTTTATCAGCCAAATTTCATTGATTTCATCTTTTATAGTTCCTTTAGTATAACTGGTATGAATATTTATCAATAAATTTCTGTATAAAATGTGACTTTATCTATTTATTCTCACGACTCCGCACAAACTGAAGATACTGTTGTCAGGGCATGATGTACGGGTCGGTACAAGCTACAGACCGAATTATGAAAGAACTGAAAGAGATTTACAAATCTGAAGGCTACAAGACGGGAGTTTACACTGTGTCAATAAACAACGACAATCTTTACAGCTGGGATGTGTTCCTGCAAAAGTGAGTCACGTGTCTTTGTTAATCAGGTTGGGCGGTTCTAGTTCTTGGTCACCAGGGTTGTTCTTGCTTCTATAACAAGTATAAGTTAGTCAGCTCGCTTAACATCAACTCTTAATTTAACCCAGGGTTGATCCGGACTCCCCTCTGATGGACGATATCAAAAAGTTGGATCCCAATCCCCAACACATTCACCTAGCTATAAGCTTCGGCCCATCCTTCCCTTTCGAACCCCCCTTCGTCAGGGTAGTCGCTCCGCACATTAGTCGTGAGTATCCAGTATCTTAGTTCATTAGTGTCAATATCTATAATGTGATAATATATATCGACTCCCTCAATATTCTAATGAGAATACTATATCTCCCACTTATTTGTGGAGCCCATGTTGTGAGTTATTTTCTTTGTAGCTCTTAACAACTGCTCCTGCAGGTGGGTATGTAATGAGGGGTGGAGCAATATGTATGGAATTATTAACTCGACAGGGGTGGAGTAGTGCTTACTCTTTAGAGTCCCTGATTACCCAGATATCTGCTACCCTGGTAAAGGGCAAAGCTAGGATCACATTCAATCACAAGGGTACGCCCTATACCTTCGAGCGAGCACTTTGTTCCTTCAATGCACTTGTGGAGAGTCACGAGGCACAAGGTAATTCATCCATTGTATTTACTTTTCTAATCAATGTTAGATTTAAGTCTATCATCTATGTTAAATTGTACAGTTAAAGTATTTTTGAATTCATTTTTTAAGGATTCGCCTCTCCAACAAAATGTTACCTTTAGTAATATGGTGGCTGTTATTCCAGGTTGGGTGACTCCACCAAAAGAAGAAGGCTGACACACAAGAGTAGGGATCTACATTACTTCAGAGAAAAGAAACACGTGATCGCATGTGGATCAGGCGAAGAAACAGACTATGGTTGAACAAGGCACATGACTTCAAACCGATCATATCACTTCCGAGCATGCATGACTTGAAACATCGCGTTGTTTTTATGAAATATTTTCCTAAGTGCAGCGCAGAGCGCGAATGTAGCTTCCCAAGTTGACTAGTATAAAATTGATAGAATCAATGATGCATTGGTTAAAGTGTGATTGGATCGGTTGTTGTTATATAATTGGATACTTGATCCACTTTCCGAGAATTAGTGTGTGCTTTCCTTTATAATTTATGAGACTTGTCGGATACTGTTTTATGTCCAGTAAAATACTAGATTGGTTAGACTTAGACGAGTTTAAGTTGATTTAATAGAAGAAAGTTGGCATCAGTCCTTCTGATTAATCCTTGTATAGCAACTCGCATACCTCTTCCACCGAGAACTTCAACTAAAGCTGACGATGTCTAACCGATAGTAATACATAATATGATGATTTAATTGCATATTTTATTACTGAGCTTGAGAGTGAAAAAGTTAAAAATCTTGTCTGTTAAAGAAGTAAGAACGTTATCGTATTTTTATTGTTTAAGTTCGTCTTTGGCACTCTTTTTCACTTTCTGAATTGCGCAGTGTTTTTAGCTCAATCTTATGTTTATCAAGCACTTCGTGCTCCAGTTTCAAATTCAAGGCAAACTTTGATTCCAAATGGGTGCTTAAACGAAAAGTTGGAGAATTTGTTAGTTATTTTTTAATCTGTAACTATTTAAATTATCTGTTCCAGAAGGGAGAATACAACTCAAAAATTTCATTTGTTACTCGAGGGGTGATGATTAATCACTTTTCTGTAGACCGAAGCGTGATTGCTAGACCAGTATTGACAGCCTTGCGAGCGCTCCTGTCTGATTAACAGGTCACGCTCGCCCGGATGATGATTAATCACTCTACACTCTACTGTCAAGTGTCACGAGACTTATTTAAGACTTCCACTTACCTAGTGCTTTGACCATTGTTAATGGTCCGGCCCGGCGCGCGCTACTTCTTAGCACTTGCCATCGGGCCATAATATTTCGAGAAGAAAGCGGCGCGCGCTACTCCGATTGTAGGTTTACAACCTACCAGGACGCGCGCCGAGTTCAGAGTTGGACTCGTCGACGGAACAGATATTATACGAGTATCACCCGTTAATACTTCGAAAAAAATTAGACGAGTAACATCCGTCAACTAGTGTCTATGTGGCTCTCAATGACTGTTCGAAACCCTAACCACCCCAGCGAACGCCGCGGGCTTCATGCGCCGCTAAAACGTTTAAATTCCATTTTTATAATTCCCCCAAGACTCCTGTTAAGACAAATTGCGAATGTTTAGCTTTAAAACTACTCTGTTCTTTAAATAATTGTCTTAATTATCGAATACTGAAGAGTTCAATTCAATCCAAGGTAATTTGTTCAAATTATGAGTGATCATGAATGAAAAATGGATAATTTACACGTAAAATTTGCCTCAAAATTTGTTTGGAAAAATGACCATAACTCTGGCTATGATTTGAATTTTGAAAATTTAAAATGCTAGTGCCGCGCACAAAAACGTTCCGCGCATTTAAAACGTGTCGATAATGCGCTCAAACCAATGTCGCGTTGGATAATAGAATCCAGTTGCCTTGGTTTCATGATTCTTTCCTGATATTGGAGCCAGCGTCAAATTTGACAGTTTGAATTCGCTTGTGTTCAACGCGCGTCATCTGTTTTACACGCTGTGTTAATAATACAAATATGTTGATGTACGCTGTGTTTGCGATTTAGTTAAACTGTTCATCGTCCACTGTTGCCCGATGGAAACTGCTTACATCACCTATGCATATGCTATGTTCATTATTGGATAAAGTTTTTGCTGATGCTGTCAGGTATAATTGATAGTCGTTTAACCTTCTATATTTTAAATTAGCTCAAATATGAGAACGCAGCCGATAACAATCGTCAGCCCGTCCGATTTTGCAGACTTCGAACAATGGTATGTACTCTATTTTTAATAGCATGCTTTCATTAATCATAGTATTTAAAATCGTACTCTCTGGAAAAGGGTAAAATACGTAACATTGTGTGTCAGTCATTTTATATCAACTGGTAGATAAGTTACTAAAACTCTTCTAAACTCTACTAAAACTTGAAGTCAACTCTTCAAACATATATCGGAAAACAAACAAAATAAACATAATGCATTTCACAATCGAACATTTTAAATTGTTCTATCTTTCTTCATTCCTTTTGTGGAAACCGGCTGTCCTAACAGGAACGGCACCTCTGGGCGGCTCGTTCACCGTTCTGGGTCTAACCTGGGAATAATAAGTCTTTAATTTTCGCACTTTTACAGCAGGTTTATCGTCTAGTTGTATTTAAAACTAAGGTGCACTTTAAAGTTTCAAAATCTTGTTAGCTGGCAACTTAAATACCTTTTGATATAACTCTGACCTCAGTAAGAATGTAGCAATGAGAACCTGTTTAAAAGTTTAAAATTTCGAACCTCTTTATTCTTCTTAGAGCCAGGTGTTTTATCGAACAGACAATCCTTTAGCTTGAGCTTCTGAGAGAGATTCTCTCCAGTAAAGGGGAGAGGGTAGAAGGAGTCTTCTTCTGTTATCTCTAGGAGTTTGCTGAAGGCGGGGAGCTTCTTGATCTTCGTAGCTACTGTTTGTAGGCATCAGGAAAAGAGAAATAGGCGTATTCCCTTCGCCATATGCTTATCTGCGATGTTGCGAACGACTTGTCTACCATATTGAGAAGTTCTCTGGAAAAAGTGTTAATTGTTAAAATCAATGAAGCGCTTTGTAATACTTATACACAGTGTTAGTAACGTTCAGATAAGTCTATAAACCGGTTTGTTGATGCAGTTGCAGTGCGACAGATCTACTCGTTTATTCTTTTATTGCGGGGAATGAATACTTAAAAACATTATCTTAAACCTCTTTCTGTTGTTGCTTCTGCCTTTCGAACTGTTGATCTTCTTGATATTGAATTGCCTGAAATAGATATATAATATATTGTTGCATCCATATTTATGTTAAGCAGATTGCAGTCTTCAGTTACACTGTACACAGTACACTTCTTCTTCTTTTGATTGGTCGGCGTCGACTGTAAGCCTTCCTTGCGGTGGCTTTCACAACGCGTCCCCATTCTCCAACTCCTGCTGCTAGAGAGAGAGACTCCCAAATTATATACCATAATTATATTATACATAGATATCGACAACAGACTCCGAGAGTCTTGAAGTACTGTTACCACCGCCCCTGGTGCAACCCCTTACGGGTTAACGATGAGGAGACAGGGACTTCCAGGGACGGTCATGGCCTGCTACATGCAACTCGAAGGAGTGTGCAATGTTCCTGTAACGTCACTGTAGACCACTCTTCTGTCGTTGTTTTGAGTGTCCGATCCAAAAACCAAATCCTAGGGTACACGAGACGTGGAAGCCTGTGAGCGTGTTAGAGTCTGTTAAATGATAGAGTCCTAGGGTTACACGAGACGTGGTAGCCTGTGAGCGTGTCAAATCCTAAGGTTACACGAGACTTGGTAGCCTGTGAGCGTGTTAAATCCTGGGGTTACACGAGACGTGGTAGTCTGTGAGCGTGTAGACCGCTCCTCTATCGTTGTTTTGAGTGTCCGATCCAAAACAAAATCCTAGGGTACACGAGGCGTGGTAGCCTGTGAACGTGTAAAATCCTGGGGTTACACGAGACATGGTAGCCTGTGAGCGTGTAGACCGCTCCTCTATCGTTGTTTTGAGTGTCCGATCCAAACCAAATCCTAGGGTACACGAGACGTGGAAGCCTGTGAGCGTGTTAGAGTCTGTTAAGTGTTACAGTCCTAGGGTTACACGAGACGTGGTAGCCTGTGAGCGTGTTAAATCCTGGGGTTACACGAGACGTGGTAGTCTGTGAGCGTGTAGACCGCTCCTCTATCGTTGTTTTGAGTGTCCGATCCAAAACCAAATCCTGGGGTTACACGAGACATGGTAGCCTGTGAACGTGTCAAATCCTGGGGTTACACGAGACATGGTAGCCTGTGAGCGTGTAGACCGCTCCTCTATCGTTGTTTTCAGTGTCCGATCCAAAACCAAATCCTGGGGTTACACGTCATGTGGGGGCCTGTGAGCGTGTTAGTTTCCTGCGGAAGGTGTTATTTGCCTGTGGGAAAAGCGGTTATGCTGCGGTTCTAAGGTTAGTAGAGGCTATTAGAGCCTTTCCTTGTTGTAGAGATGGCTAGTCCCTTCCTTTGCATAGGTTAGAAACACCCATGCACCCCCCGTTCGAGCCACCCACCCCACACCGCGTGGAGGTTCGGTGAGGTTTTTCGTGGGGCACACAGTACACTTACATTCCTATTAGAACTGCAAAGTATCGAAACGATCCATCACACATCCTCACTTTATAATTGTAGTTAAGCGAACATTCTAGACTCTGCTATATTATGCCGTCAGATTATAATATGTGTAGCAGCTTAACAACACGTGCGAGACTGAGACGCGCTCTGATACATCGAGCAATAACTAATAAGTTACACCCAGCCGTCTAAGTCGCGTTGACTATAGCTATATGTCGGCTCTCTCTCTCTGCTCGGTATTTTCACCTTCGATACTGTAATCCTGCTGCTCTTTGTGTTTATAGCCGTCTGAATCAGAAACTAATCCCGGGACGTTGTTATTCCCCAACTGCTTTATGATTCCTAGACCTAGAAAGAGGCATATGAATAATATGGTCAATGCTGTTTTCCACATTCTTCTTTTTAAAGTCACTTCAGTATTATTTATAAGCGTAAAGCAGTTGTTTACTGTATTACTGTGGAGTCATTTACCGTTAATTATCGCGTTATGAAGGGCTGTATCACCACTTGTGTCTCGTTTTAACAACTGAGAGTAACTTAGATTTTCCATAAGTCTCCGGGTTTCGTCCAGATCCCCTATCGTGCACGCATGTTGAAGTTTGTTGGTCTTGGTTAGATTATTGACAAATCCGAGGGCATCTGGAATATCCCGTTTCTGTAAAGTGAATATTATGAATGTACAGTCAAACCTCTAGTCTATATACCGGGCCTCACGGGATATCAAGATAACGCCTACCAGCAGTATAATATTAACTATGAATTCCTGTAATGCCTGGTTTTGTTTTCATACGCATTCATTCTAATTGGAGAAATTGTCACTCACATTTCCTGACACTAGAATTTGAGCATTCCGTTTCGAATTCTTCTTCCTTGATAAATTGGACTTCCTTCTGCGTGGCTTTCTTTTTTTTCCAGGTTCTGCGAGGAAATTTTGATAGCATTCAGTTTTTAAATTCTGTTCAATACTGTTGACATAACAACTATTGCAATTAAGTTACTATATACTAGTTCTAAGATTTCCGCCCTCCTCAGCAGAAGAGCACATTTGTAATGTATGTCATAAACATTACATCACCGTCAAAGCCTAAGAAAGCACGTAAGGAGCGTACATGATGAAGTACGCCCAGCAAAATTTAACTGTGCCATCTGTGGTATATCCCACACAGATAGGCACAGGCTCAGAGCGCACATCCAGGACGTCCACAGAAGTGTGCAGCGACATCCATGTTTGTTGTGCGTCAAAAATTTTAAACATAAAAGGACTTTAAATAGTCACATGAAAAAGAAGCATGAAATGGAGGGGTAAATTTTTCGCGTGACTATTTCAAGTTCTTTTTTAATTTGCAAAATGCAAGGGTTTATACAATAGCCAATATAATTATAGCCATGTTTTGTGCCACTGTCAATTCTATAAAATATCGTGGGAGCTGGATGTCGCTGCACGTTTGATTAATGTTTTTAATTTGGAGTTCTTAGACTTCTAATTCTACAGGGTAATCGAATAGTTCGACCGCCCTTTTTTACAGAACACTACTATGTGGTCGTTCTAAGGGGTATCCCATCAGGTTCCCTCCTCATTTAACCGTCAATCAAGTTGCCTATCATTCTGCTGAATTAACCGATACGAGAACGTCCTGATTGTGGTCGTTGACTTATTCAGCCGAGAAGTTCCAAAAGATTACGCTTGTTTTATTTTGACACAATAGCTATTGTCTAAAAATGATTATGAAGGTAGGAAGGGGACAGGGGTTCAAAATTGACTAATTGACGTGATAACGTAATATGTGAACGGTTCCTATCTGTTTTGTCGATAAACTACGAAATAATGACACTATAACAAGGTATATTTATATTAAACATTAGTGGGTGTCCTGAGAAATGATTTTGTTGCATTAATTACTCTTTTAAATGAAATATATCTATTTTAAGATATCAATTTCTAGATTCGAAGAGTACCTTTTCCGATGGTCTACATTTTTATGATAGATATTTATTTTACGGTGTTAATTTCTAGATTCAAAGAGTACCTGTTTCGATGGTCTCCAAAGCTATGGCGTCTTGTATGTTTGAGTCTGACTCATCATCTGTTTGATCCATGAAAACTAAATACATATAGTAGGTTTTAAAAGGTACGAAAATTATCGGGGGGATGGTTCCCCTATATCCCGGTAACCCGAGAGAATTCAAAGTCATAATAGAGTACGGTTATCTTAGTTATTATAGCATATTTAATAGTACGCTAACATATAATTGTCTAAATATCAGATAATTATGTACATAATATAAACATTGAAATTAATGTTCACAAGTTAGATGGCCATGGTGCCATAAATGTATAATACATTACATTCATTACAGCATGTTTTCATCTAGAACATTCCAGTCTCACGAAACTCAATATCGTATCATTGCAGAGACGTCGAGAAAGGTACATCTTGATCCACACATGGAAAATTCTCAATGGCCTGGCCCCAAATGATATTGGCATGCTGTTCAAAAACAACCCCCGACATGGAATAAAAGCTACTGTACCAGCACTGAACAACAAATCACAGCGTTCTGTGGCAACTCACTATGAAAACTCGTTTGGAGTGAAAGCGGCACAGCTGTGGAATCTTCTCCCCAAAGAAATTAATTCCATCTCTACTTTGGACCTGTTAAAATCGTCACTGGCTAAATTCCTTAAAGAACTCCCCGACACACCTCCGACTAAAGGATACACCGCTACTAACAACAACTCACTCTTGGAATGGTAAATAAATAAATAAATAAATAAAGTCAATTTTTACAGCACAGTAGGGTTTGCATTATCGGTCCACAATTTTTTATCGCCGATAACCGATAATAATTTTTCAATTATCGGCGATAACGATAATTATCGGCGATAAAATTTGGTCAGAACAATTAGCTTATTTTCCATCGATTCAGTGGCTTAATTAATCATACGTTCATGATTTATAACTTCCGTGATTGAGGGTCATGAATTCCCGAGATATCGTACACAAATTGTAAACGCGTAATTTCAAAATAGTCAATTAATTGAAAGTGAAGATCCGATATACTTTACAGTGAACAGTCAGTGACAATAACAATCTTACACAAAGTGGAACTCCACAGCCGCTAAACGGCTATACATTTCGGCTTGAGTTTTCTTTTCGATGTAAGATACTATTAGGGACTGATTTTTTGGTCGCTTGACTTTGGGGGATGCCGAAGATTTATCATTATTAGCAGCTGCATTTTCTATACCGTGTTTAACTCTCAAGTGGTACCAAAGATTAGTGTAAGACCTTTTGGCTGTTGTGCTGAGAAAAGACTTGTCACATTGCATGCAGGCCACGTTGTCCCCCTCTTTTGTGAAATGTTTCCAGATCTCGTTGGTTGACATATCAAGATTAACTAGTTTTCCGAGACACAACAGAAAACAGATAACAACTGATACGTGTAACGTAATCAATCAACGATTTAAGCAAATGAGCGACCCAGGCAAGTTAATCATCGGCATTCGGCAAGTTAATCATCGGCATTTCTCAGGGGAGGGGCGTGGAGTGTGGACTGTGCAGGAGTGTACTGTGTTGTTATGGTGTGTACTGTGCAGTACTGTGTCGGGTTCAAATTATTACCTTATACGGTTGTAACTGAATTGATAGTTTGAAGTGAACAGCTTATCTGTAATAGGGTGGGGCGAAACTACGGGATACTTATTACAGATTTACCGTTTAAACTTTAATTCCGTTGAATTCAAATATGCAACTATCCCATGAAATATGAATACTTTTACATAGTACATACCTTGTTTCACCAATCAACAGTGATAAGATAACATTGCAAATCTTGCTGATTTAAGTACTTAAGTAGCAAATTCAGATGTTTTGATCAGTTTCACACATATCTTATGATCAATCTAGTGAAAATGGGAGGTAAGAATCTGCGAGTTAGCTGTAAAGTCTCGAAAATTCCGAAATTATTTTTGAAAAGAAATTTCTGAAATTATCGGTTTATCAGTCAGAAATTATCGCCGATAACCGATAACGATTTTACTACGAATTATCGCCTATAATTTTATCGCCGATATTATCGATTGCAAACCCTACAGCACAGCAATATATATCTAAATATCAGATCCTCTGTAATCATAATGTATAAAAAAAGGAGCTTTTCTCTGTGCTGAAGGATGAATCAAGGCAGATCATGGTTCTGTTAGCAGGCCACCCTAGTTATGGACAATACATATATATAAAATAATTAAATTATAATTTTAAAATTGTGTCAAGATTGAACTAAAACATAACTCAGGGTAAAATAGACGTATTCCCTTCGTCAAATTAACTATTTACAATACTAAACTTAAACGAACTCCGGGTAAAATAAACGTAATCCCTTTGTCAAACTTGCTATTTACAATAAGTTAATAAATTAATACGGTTGAAAATTATGTCATATTTAATAACAATGTAGCATCAATATAATTGATACAAATGAGGAGCATACATAGCAGTGAGAATTGCACATAACAGGAGGACTGGAGGTATGGAGCAATAATGATTGACAGTGCACCTTTCCACTGATGTTCCTAATTTCCTGTAATAGCTTAATAGGCATGGAAATACTTTGATTGCAGGGGATGGATTGGATTCACTTATGTACTGAGATAACTTAACCGAAATAACATAACTGCCTAGATACATTGGCTAGTGTTGGGTGGGATCATGAATTTATCGTAAGAGTTATCCCCTTGGTAATTCTCATCAGTTAGCACCATATTCATAAGAGTTTCTTTGTATAACTTAGAAAATTTCTTAACGTCGTCACACTCTCTAAGGGACTTTGGTAATATGTTCCAGGCCTTAGTTCCTAGATAGTTAAACTCCTTGTGAGATCTTGATTTAGGAGTATAAAGATTGCAGTTTTCTGCCTCACGTGATCCACCAGAAATATACGAGAATTTTCCGATAAAATGCTTTGGACATGTTTCATTGATTATACGGTACATATATGAGCTAAGATGAACCTGTCGTCTCAAATGGAGAGGAAGCCATCCCATATTTTTGTATACATTAACCGACCTCTCTCTGATGTTTACATCTAGGGCTATTTTAGCAACCTTTTTGTACATGATATCTAACTCTCCTAGTCGTTTTTTATATGTTCTTGACCAGATGGTGTCTAAGTAGTCAAAATGTGGCAACATAAGTGCATTAGCAAACATCTTCCTGAACTTAAGAGGGAGAAGTTTTTTTGATCTATACATAGCACCAATTCTTTTGGATATCTTTTTCTTAATGTTATCAATATGTTCATTAAATGTCAATCTGCTGTCAACTATAAGTCCAAGGTACTTATGGGATTTAGTTTCACAGATTACCAAAGTAAGGTCATCACAAATTTCAACAAGGATGGCATCAAGGTTAGGCTTAGAGTCAAGGATCATTAGTTTTGTTTTTTCATTATTCAGGGATAGTTTATTAGCCTGAAGCCATCTGATAACTAATTTCAACTCTTGTTTGATGTTACCATAGTTTCCTCTAGATATATTGTCAAAATATAATGCACCGTCATCAGCAAATAGATAAGGTTTAGAAAATAGGCATGCATTAGGCAGGTCATTGATAAAAATGCTGAATAGAATTGGTCCTAATATACTTCCTTGAGGCACTCCAGAGTTCAATGAATGTAAACTGCTTATCCTACTCCCAACTCTAGTTTGCTGTAATCTATCTGTGAGGAAGCTCCTAAACCAGCTCAATGCAGTATCTTTTATTCCATAATGCTTCAGCTTTTGAATGAGAATATCATGGTTAACAGTATCAAATGCCTTTCTGATGTCCAGGAAGATAATTGCAGGATGCTTGGCACTGTTCTTAGCAGTAAATATACGATCAAACAGATCTAACATGAGATAAGTTGTAGAGTGATCTTTACGGAAACCATATTGATGCTCTGAAAGTATTCCCTTTTCATCAAGATATTGAGTCAGTTGGGAGTTCACACAAAATTCGATGCACTTTCCAAGAATCGGTAAAATTGAGATTGGTCGATAATTACTAGGATTCTCAGTATCACCATCCTTATGGATTGGGGTGACTTTTGCAACCTTGCAGCTGTTTGGCATGATGCCACTGGATAAACTCAAATTTACAAGATGTGTTAATGGAGCAATAAATGCAGGTAAAATTTGTCTAAACACTCTCAATGGTATATGATCATTAGTGGATTTGCTACAAGGGATACTTGCCACATAGTCTAAGATATTGGACTCAGTTATTTCAGTAAAGCTATTCAAGCTGGTCTCGTTGTCAATCTGCTCATTTTGTAGATAAGATAGAAATTCATTTTCATTTTCCAGCTGCACTTCTGCTTGGATCTTTGGACCTATTTCAGCAAAATATTTATTGGTGGTTTCAGCATCAAGATTGTTATTGATATTGTTAGCTTTAACAGGCAGATTTGATGCTGTCTTTATCGTTTTCCATACACCCTTTAGATCATTCATGGCACACTTGGCTTTCAGTTCTGTTGCTAAGTTAGTCTTCCTATTAATTCTAGACAAATAGGTTGAATAGTTTCTCTGCCGTTTATATGCCATCCATAATGAGTCACATTTATTACAGTGTATATTACCATTTGGATGTATACGTCTGTTCTTGTTGTGTGTTAAAAATTTACGGTAAAGTTTCCCTTTCAATTTCTTACTTTCTAAAAATTCTGGAGATGGCTTATGGATGTAATCACTATGGCACTTAATTTGTTTAATTGGACAGAAGTGATCATAGTAGTGATCAATATGTTCGTTTAAACCATCAACTGCATCATTCAGACTAGTTGAATCTATTATTGGTCTATAATCACAAGTTTCCAAAAATTCTTTAAGAGCAGTAACATTCATTTTGCTGTGATCTCTTATTAGTAACTTCTTGAATTTTGAGGCCTTATGCACATTGAAATCGACAATGAACTTTACGACCTGATGATCTCCTATACAATCATCAAGGACTTTGCAGTCAAGAAACTTGGAGTAAGTGTTTGTTATGACAACATCGATTGTGGTCTTTGTGATTCTGTTTCCTAGTTTAGCAATGCGGGTAATATCCTGAACTACCTGTACCATGGTAGTGGT